AGATGAGCCTGTAACGATGCATTCTGAGAAAGAAGTATGTCAGGAAACTTGAGCTTCATTCTAGAACACAGCTTAATGGCAGTCTTTGATCAACAAGATAAATACAGGAAGCTATCAAAAATGGCTTATGATTATCCACCTAACTCTGAAACCTCACCATGAGTTTAATTTTGGAATAATTGATGGTTAAAGATTCCTCTGTAAGAGCAATAATCAAATAATCTGAACCACAGCCACATAACTGTTTGGTCAGCATATTGAAAAGCAAAATTGTCCTAAGAAATAGAGAAGGAACATATACTGAGATGAAAGTCACATAACTTAGTCCCAAGATGGGCTTCCAAAATGAATGAGCATGAAGTATTAGGGAAAGAATCTTAGATTACCTAAGAAATGTAACACAAAAGCTACATCTCCCAGTCTTACTGGGTGGTAGTTATCTGGTGGGGGATATTTATAGTCTCTTTTATATAAAGTTAATCTAAAGAAAACCAAATAATACTTAGTGTAATGTTCATTCAAACATGAGAGCCACTGAAAAATTTAAATCCCAACCTCTCAGTGTTCTTTTCTTACCTTCAAAGTAAGAAGCGTCCTAACTATATAAATTATACACCTGACTATCTGCCTTTCTTTCAGTATGTTGCACAGAGAAGGCATTCCCTAAAGTGATGAAATGGTATTCATTAAGGAGTGACCAGTGGTAAGCTGGCAAAGGCTAGGAAAAGAAATAATAATATTTCTAACAATGGAGCTTGTTGATGTTGAGAGGAAACAGAGGATGCCAAGAGGAAGGTTTCAAGTAGTAGGATGAGTGAAAAAACATGATGCATTGGCTCCATAAAAAGGAGGCAAGTGTGAATTAGAGAAAGAGGACGTGCATGCTACTACCAATTAAGTGCTTACTATTATGAGAGCTAAAAACTCTTCAAAATGAATAAATGGGTTAAATAAAATGGGGATTACCATTTAAATAGAACATTCTAACTTTGCTTCAAATCTTGGGAATTCTACAAAATCACAAAGGAGAGAATTAAGTGAACAAAATAGTTTAATTTAATGGGAAATTTATTTCAGAAGAGCAGCTAAGGAAAATTTCTGCAGTTAAGTAATGACATTTTGAATTAGGAGACATTTATATAAAAGCAATGTCCAAGGATAAAGTTAAACAGTAAGAATTTTCAGAAAGACCTAGAAAAACCTGAGCCAGAGACCTGAGGCACTTTAGAAAGAGGTACAAAGAAAATGTAAGCTTGCTCTCTATAGGAAATAATTAGTAGAATTTGACCTATATAAAGGAAAATACTGCACATGCCTATGAGTAGAAGCAAAGGAAGACAAACACACAAACACACAAACATTCCTTCCTACTTTAAAAATACCCCCAAAGACTGAGATCATAATGTTACTTTTGTTCCTTTTCTAGTCTAATTAAAACATGAATTGTTGCCTATTGCCTATTATCAGTTTATCCATATTATGGGTTAAATAGAAAAATTAATATTGAGGGTGCCATTTCTCTGCAACATTTATTTAACTAAGTCAGAGGCACAGTGATTATTAAAACAAGGCCCAGCTCCAAATTATGTACTGTATCATATAGGCTAATTTGACAAAAAAGCCAAAGTCTTAACTAGTGTTCCCACTGAAAGATGTCTTTATAAACTCTAAAATGTAATCCCCATTCCAGAAATTAAATTATACAGCAAAATACTTTCTCAGAATATGAAAGCCTTGTAAACTGTAAAAAGAATAAAAATTCATAATGAAAAATAAAATCTTTCTAATTATAATTTCTAATTATAGTTTTCTCACAAAACTTCAAGTTAGTTTTTCTTTACTGATTTGATTTAGGTTTTTTTGTTTTTGTTTTTTGAACAAACGTGAGTGGTTAGGATTGTCGTTTTAATTTAAATTTCATAAGAAAGAGAATCACAATGCACATTCCATGACCAGATTGTATGTGTGGCCTATTTATTCAAAATGTTTGATTCCACATGGATTACTTCTCTTTTATTTATAGCTTCCAGAAAGAATTCTAATAAATTAGCAACTCAAGGGCAACCAATTAGGAATCTAGGCCCTGAGAGCACAGTACCTTAGGTCTGCTACCTGCAATGTTTTCTAGAAGGACCAGGGAAGGCAGACAAAGCCTGAAGTTCTGTGTGGAGCAGGAACCAAGTGTGAACCACAAGTGAGTTGTCTACTGAGGTCAAGGTTAAAGTTCACAGAATAATTTGGAAATTATTCTCAGCTTGGATCTCCTTTATGAGGCCTGAGAATACACCCTTTAATTAGAATACAATTTCCAAAGCAGCCACTCCCTTGACTTTCCAGAGCTCAGTTATTCTCAGAAAAGTAAAAACAGCCTCATCATACTGACAGCTAACAGTCCCCTATAAATTATGCCTTAAATGTCCAACAAAGAAGGCAGCAGGCATCCGGAAAAGAAGATGTTAGCTGTCAGCCCTCACTAACCACTCTCAAGAATAGATAGAGGAAAAGAAGTCATATTAAACAGAGCCAATCTCCTTCACTTCTTGCTTATGCAGCTGAGCTGTCCCATGGAAATTTGGAAAAAGAGTGGGCTGTACATTTGAAATTGTTCCCACACCCCAGCTGGCCTCATTTTTCTGCCGATCCCTCCATCCAATTAACCTCACAGTATAGTGGGAACACTAAAATCAATTCCAAGAGAGCCACTGTCCGCCTCTTCCATGGTACTCAGAGCTCCACACAGGACTCCTGGAATGGGAGCCAGTCTGATCCTGACTCACCACAGGCGCTTCCCTCTTCCCTCACGTAGCTCTGAGCCAGAGCCTTCTTCCTAGGGCCTACTGTTATTATAAAGGATTTAGTGGGCCCCAAAAATGGGTTAGATGTTGAACCAAGAGGAAAACACACATCTCCCTAAATGCAGAGTTAAGAGACACAAACATTAAATTATATGGAGATGGCCAAATACTCTACAAAAAAGACTGAAGAAGGAAATTCAGGCAGATTTGTAGCATTTCATATTAGAGAGACAGAATAGCAGAAGCTATCACAATATCAAACTTTCAAATGCTATCCAGACTTGTGAGTTGGGTTTAAAAATGACATAAAGTTTTCCATTTCAGCAAATCCAGATATCAAATTTTTCTGTAGACCCAATAAAATTTCCTTTGTCTAAAAAAGTATGACCAGGAAAATAACAAAAATATAGTTTTTGAAATTTGTTAACAGAATTTAGAGCCCAATGTCACCCACAAACATTTGGAAATTCTTGCCAGCTTATTATTCCTTCAATGCATATTAGTAGGAATCTAGACAGTTGTCCCCAAATGCTCCAGTGTACAGGCCTTATCATTATCTCAATAAAAAAAAAACAAAAAAAAAACGATTTCATGCAATTTACAATATTTTTATCACTGTACACTCAATCAATATTGACAATAGAGTAGTTTTTTTAAATCTATTCCCTTTAATGGTATGAATTCTGTGACTAAAATAAGTTTCATCAAATAGCACAATATTTTTTTAACACATTAAATATGATTCTCCAAATCCTTATGCAATAGTGCTTGTATTTTGTTTTTTGTCTTAAGAGTTCTTATTCACGTTTTCTTTAGTGTGGGCATTGGGAAGGGAGAGCAGGGAACTAAATCAATTAAATGAAACACACACACTTAAAATTCTGTGACTATGGAAAAAAAAAAAAAGAGAAAACAATCATGCTAACCAAGGTGGAGAAAAATTTGTTTCTAAGACCTCTTCTAGCTCTAACTCTCTGGTTGATTTGATTCTCTGGAAAAAGCTATATAAATCTTGCTCCTCACTAATTTCTGAGCCTAATTTCCTTCTCATTCCATTCTCTAAGGCAAAAGTTTTTTAAAAAGTGGTTCTAAAATTAAATTAAAACAAATTCACTTTTAGGGTTTTTGTTTTAAATCTTGAAATGCCCTTTAATAGTGTTTTTATTGTTATTTTATGTTTTCTACTACGTTGTTTTTTTTCCTTTTTCTGCTTTCTTCAGTTTGGTTTTCAGTTAAGGACAGATAATAGGCCTTCTCAAGAGGAAAAGAAACATTCAGAGATTCAAAGTAAATGTAATATATAACACAAAAAAGGGTCTATATTATGAAGATTATGAAGTTGTTTGAACTGAACAATTAAATTTAAAAATAATGTTAGATTTCCAGAAAAGATTTCTTTTTCTCTGTCCATTCTGGGAATAGAATAAGACATAAGACATGGCAACTTGATTATCATGAATGAGAATTCCAAAATATATACTCCCAAGTTTTTCCAGATGTGGCATAGCAGTGATCTTTTATACATTTACTACAGAAAACAATTCATTATATGGTACATTTATCTTGATGCCACCTGGGGGAACTTAGTGACCAGACCCTACGCTCCAGAGGAAAACTTAACAGGAAATCAGCATTCTGAATAACACACAAAAGATACTGCTATTTCCAGACACTCCCAGAGTAAAATGAAAATATGCCAAGGCTTTCATATACATTTTACACAGTAATCTTAGGAAGAGGAAGAGAATTTAAAAAAAAAAAAAAAAAAAAAAAAGAGTGATAAAAATTTTAACTGTAAAAAAAAGTTTGGAATCATTTGGCTTAAAAGAACAGGGACCAAAATCGAATTATGGAAGTACTTATTGTCCTTTAGCTCTTTTTAGTTTCACAGTACACTTAGAATTGTCTGACTTTCACTTAGTCACTGCTCAAGAAGGAAATAAGTTTTGTCTAAATCTGAGAACTGAGTCCAAAATGTACAGGTCAATAAATTATTTTCTACAGAAAGAATGAAAACTGACAGAGTGTTATTTATATCCTTGTTTTAGCCCTATTATTGTAAAATTCTCCGGAAAACACTTTCAGATAAATTCTGAAAACTCTGATTTATAGGTTTTTCAACAAAACGATAATGGTACAATTAACTCAGAGCATATTATCACAGTCATATTCCCAAACCACTGCAATTTTCTCAAAAGTACTTACTTCTGATGAGTTCATCATCTGAATAATTTCCCCAGATGAACTGGTCTTGCATCTCTCCATGTGTGAAGCACCTATTGGTGGCTTGAGTTATATCTCTCTCAGTATTTTCTTTTGCACATTTATCTGAATAAAAAATATATATATATATATATATTATCATTAAATGTTGCATATCTTTCTCATTTTATAGATTATTTTTTCTAAATGCTTCTCTAAGTCTGCCAAAATTTAAGAAAATGGGAGCAGTATATCTATTGGCTGTTGCATACATATTGACTCAATTACTTATTTATTAAGCACCTACTACATGCCTAGCATTGAAGAAACAGAGATGTTTACAATAAAAATAATCTGTCAAGATTACCTTAAACAAATCATTGGAACATGGCAAGTGATCTGCCATGACAGAGAAATGTGGAAAGGTTACATCAAGGATGAAAATGAATAAGTCCTTACATGTAGAGGGTGGGAGTAGCAGGGAAAGCACCAAAGGAGAAGAGACTCCAATGGTGGGTAGAAATGAAAGACTGAAGTTGAATGAGAATTGAGGAGGTACAGAGTTATCTTTACAGAAACTTGGGAAAGAGTCAAGGATTATGTTATAAATTCTCAGAGAGGAAGGGTGTTTAGGATGAGGGATCTATACGGGGTTCTAAGGGGGAAAGCCAGTAAGTAAGGAAAAGGAACAGCTTATTGGAACCATAACTCAAGCAAAAAGTAAACTATAACACAATGTATGTTATGAGAGGTCCAGGGCACTAAAGGTGTTCAATGGTCTTTAAAATATTAGAGGGAATTCTAGAAGTAGAGATGGGAGAAAAGCCATTCCAGGTGGAAAAAGTGTGGGCAAACTCCAATAGCAGAACTGGGCAACGGTTCCAACTCTGGGGTGAAGTACTTTACGAGGGATTAGGAGATAAGATAGTAAAGGTCTGAATAGACATAGAATGGGTATTTTAATGTTAAGGTGAGAAATCTGGATCTAATTTAAAAGCAAGATAAGTAAGCAAAAGTAGCCATTAAAGCTTTATGAATTTCCCAATCAGAGCTATGCATTAGGAAGATTAATAAATTTGTATACACTAGTGGTCCTGAATCCTGACTGCACTTTAACTCACTCTGGTGGCTTCTTAAAAAACAGATTTCTAAGCCCAATCACCAAAGATTCTATTTCAATTTAGGGCAGGAGTGCTTAGGTGATTCCACTGCACTTACATCCTTGAGAACCACTGGAGAATGGGACTAACAGGGAGAAAATAGTAATGGGGGGGAAAAAGGAGACTTGGAATAGTCCAGGTGGAAGTTGCTGAGAATTTAATCAACTGGATAGTAATATGGGAAAGGGGGTAGATGTGAAAAAATAACTAGAGGTTTGTTTGCAGATAATCAGGAAGGTGGGATTAGAAATGACTGAGTTCTCTTAGTGTGGATTTGACTGAGGAACCGTGGAGACCAGGAAAATAATTTATTAAATATATATATATATAGACACACACACACACACACACACACAAACAGTAGATGTTTAGGCAGTGACCTAGGCAATGGAGATACAAAGAATTAGGAGATGCAACCTAGGCCTTCATGGAATTTACAGTCTAGTGGATGAGTTTAGTGTTGGACACTTGAATTTGCAAATCACAAATGAAGTTATAGCTAGAAACAGTCATCTTCCTAAACTTGATTGCTAAAGCCGTCCAAATGACTAGGATGACCAAAGAGTGAATATGTGAAAAGAAGTGTATCAAGTGGGGTCTGCACAATTAGAAAAGATCAAAGAAGGAAGAGAAGCTAGATGATGTCAAGCCATGGAAGCAGAAAATAGATTTAAACAGAAATTGTTAGTCAACTGTATTAACATTTCCATTGGGAGGAAAAATTTCTGCACATGTACCATGAAGATTTCACAATTGAAAAATTCTGACATGAAACACATTTTAACACACGGAAATAGAGGAACACCAATGTAGGACTAAATCCAGAGGCTAAAAACTCCAAAAAAATAGGCTCTTCAATGCTTAGTGTTTTTAGAAAGCAAATTCATATTCAGATAGCAGTAAAATATAAAACAGAAGCATGTTAAACCAGTATGTTCTAGATTTATGTAACATTTACTCAGCATTATCACAGAGAAATGTAATTTTCCTGAGATGTGTTATTTTCAATTAAAATCTTTACTTTTTTAAACAACTCCAGATATCTTTCCATTGCTAGTCAACTCAAGGCCTTTCTGAGATTATCAACAGAAAAGACTCAGAAAAGACTTTTATATAAACTCACTCATACACGTGAAATCTCTCAGGAGCAGTCCAACATTACTTGCTTCTACTGTTATGTAGCTGACTGCCGCCAGGTGTCATGCTAGTAGGCTTAATTCAATTAGTAACTTTAATTGAAGCTGAATGAATTAATTATATAATTTTGAGCTGTTCATGTATAATTCCATTAAAATTAATTCATGATACCAGGGCATTACGAAGCATTGCTGACTAAAAGAAAATAGGTATGAATAAAGCCTCTAGACACACTTGACTTACGTTTGAATCATGTCCAATACTCAAGTGCTAAACAGAGAACCTCTCAATTCTCCAGTGAGTAAATGAAATTGTCACACAGATTTAGGAGTGACCCTCTATTAAGAGGAAAATAAAGTTCTTAATGCTCTAAATATTTATTAAGAAACAGCTTAATGTGTTGGTTTTTTTTCAGTTTCCTTATTTGTGAAATTCTAGGATTAGCTGATCCCAGAATCCTTCTCAAATTAAAATCTACCATTCTCATTCTCTATCTTATTATGTTCAAGAAATAATAAATTCTATGTGATTATTACTAAATCACAATCATCAGTCTAACCAACTCTGCCTCCTTTGAAAACTAAATGTCTTGGCTCAAAATTTGGTGTCAGGCTTTTGCTATAATCCACAGCACTCAGCCCAAAGCAAGGCTCAGAAGAGATTCCATGTAGAAAATTTAAATTGGCCATTGCCAATTCTCCAGTCTGTAAACTAAACTTCTGTGACCATTTGGCTGTTCTATGACTTTCTAATACATGTTCATTATTTTATGAACATCTCTTTAATATTTAAGAAATATCTATATGGCAGCCTCATAAATGGTGCACAGTTACATCTAACATTGAAGAAATGCATGGAGAGCGAGCAAGATTTAATTGGTAAACAACTGTAAGATGGGCACCATGACGTCCAGTCACAGAACCAAACTTACTACAACTTCCAATAGGTTAGGTCAGCCACTACTCATTACAATGACAAAAGAGTAAGTTTCTGATAGCAAATTTCTATGATCACTGTACGTTTGCTGTCATTTTTGTATTACAGAAGCAGAGACCACAGCCGTTCCAGTTTAATCAGTTCCTCTCTGGATCTATGGACATTTATAGTTGCAAAACAATTACCACCTGGGCCTAAAAGACAAATCCTGGAGGCAAGCAAGTAATTTCAATGATGCATGAAATCAGTCTATACCTTTCTACAAAATTTCTATATATACATCCAACAAGCATTCCTATCCAACTTAGCAATTTTCTCTTAAAAGGAAGATTTCATCATCTAATTAGACTGTTCTAGGCCAATAGTTCTTTTTGGCTTTTTTTTTCTTGTAGCACTTTTTTTGTTAATTTATCTTTATTGTTGGAAGTATTACAGATATCCCCTTTTTCTCCCATTGATTCCCCCCCACCCAACTTCTGCCCCCCCCACCTTCTCCATATTATTGTCTGTGTCCATGGGTTATGCATATATGCATATAAGTTCTTTGATTAATCTCCCCTCACACACTTCTCCTCCCCAGCTTTCCACCTTCCCTCTGAAACTCGTCAGTTGGTTCCATGCTTCTATGTCTCTGGATCTATTTTGTGCTCTTCATGCATAAAGATGCACAGGTTCTAACATCAGAGGTCTCAATTTGGATGGTGTGGGGTAAAGGGGATGCCATTATCATATGGCCAGGTTATATGTAGGTCACTGTTCTAAGTAAGCTCTTCTGTACTAAACAATTTAAAGAAAACTTAGAAGAGCCTATCAAATATTGATATATAGACCTTGTTTCTCATCACCTTGTCACAGTATTCCAAGTAATCAGAAAATACAATTTTATCTAATGAGATATTTAGTTCTATCTCCATGTCAGCTCAACTATAAGAGTACAAAACCTGAATTATACATAATTCTAATCAGTTGTACTAATAGAGGAATATATGTTTTAGATATTAAAATAAAAAGTGAAGACGCTTTAAAAACAGCACTAGACCAAAGTATCCATTGGGCATTTGCTTCTGAAAGGCTAGTTCCCAGGCATTCTAGTGTGCCTACTCTAAACACAGAAGTGCACAAGAATCTTTGGATAAAGAAAAAAAGCTTTGTCCCTGTAACAAATCCTCTAGCTGGGAAAACCAAACATAGCTATGAAACAATCAAGCACCTACAAAAACAAAAGATAATGAAAACTGCCCTGGGTCATAATTCTGGCTCAAAGACTCACCAGCTGGTGAAGAGGGCTGGGCCTCATTCTCTTCAACGGGAAATGAGGGCATTGAGCTGGATGCTTGCCGAGGCCTTTTTTGGCTCTAAAATTCCGTAAATCTGACTCTGCACAAGATCTAAACAACAGAGTCAAACTTCATATCCATACTGCAAGGGTATTTAGAATGGAGTAGAAGGAATCATTGAAAAGCCTATGTAAGGCATTGGATTTGAGTTAAAAGTGACAAGCATGAATTAAGCAAAAGAATCAAAGAAAAAGAGTTCTAAATGATGGATTTAAATACAATGTGCCCTATTCAGAAATGACTATCTTACAGGATCAATACTCTTTATTTTTTGCTATTTTTCTAAAGACGGGCATAAATGGTGAGAAGCAATCTCTTTCCAATCTCGATTATTCTTGCAGGAGAATGAGAAAGATTCAGGTACATAGAATTTCCATTTAATTGAAAATTCTATAATATATTACCTAGTTAGCATTACCCAAATTTAAAACTTTGAGAATTTCACTTATCCCAGACAGCTGGGGAATAAAATACTTGAAAGGTTATTAACAGAGAAAAATCTAAGAGCATTTGAAATAAGTAAATTGGATAGTAATATGTGTAAAATATTATCTGT